CCTCTCACTCTCTAGCACCTCTGACCTACACCTCAGCTCTTGTATGCATAAACAAACAAATCTTTTTTAAAAATATGAATTTTTAAAATATTCTTGTTCACCTATCTAGTAATTTGGTATTAATAAAGCATTCAACACAAGGATTTAACGAAAAGCTATTGTTATTTAAAATGTTGACCACTCTTTTTTTTTTTAATAATAAATTTTATTTTTATATTCCCCATACAATTGCAGCCCCCCCATTCTGACCCCAATCCCTCCCCTCCCACCCCCGCCCCCCTAAAAGTGTCTCTGGTTCGTAGTTTTTTGTTGATTTTGATTTTCACTTTCTTATAGTTATTCGTTTTCCTGGTCCCTTATTTAAGTTTTCTAGATTCCTGCTATGAGTGAGACCATCCGGTATTTTTCTTTTTCATTTTGGCTTATTTTGCTGAGCATGATCCCTTCCAGTGCCATCCATGTTGCTGCAAATTGCATGTGTTTATCTTTTTTGAATGCTGAGTAATATTCCATGGTATATATGTACCACATCTTCTTGATCCAGTCATCTATTTTAGGGCATTTGGGTTGTTTCCAAAGCTTAGCTATTGTAAACAGTGCTGCTATAAACATAGGGGTGCAGGTGTTCTTTGGAATTGATGTTTCTGTGCCCTTTGGGTAAATACCTAGGAGTGGAATTGCTGGATCATATGGAAGCTCTATGTTTAGTAGGTCCAGAAATCTCCACACAGCTCTCCACAGTGGTTGGACCAGTTTGCACTCCCACCAACAGTGCAGGAGAGTTCCTTTTTCTCCACACCCTCGCCAACATAAAATGTTGACCACTCTTAATGTGCCCTTGTAGTAGCTACATAAAGTCTGTTACTCCACGTTTCTGGCAAATGTACTGGAGAATACAGGTAGGACTGCTCTTTTTAGCTCAGATCCCATTATTTCTGTGGATAACTGTGGGACAGTTAACCCATAACAGCTAATGCAGCTGGAAAAAAGTTTGTGCTTGACCAGATTAGTCATTAGATCAACTTCAGATGTTTGGCAAGTTACTTAATCATTCTAAGATTGAATTATTCGTTCTTTAAAAAAAAGATAGAAATAATATTTCATGGGTTGCTTATAAGTGAGATGATAGAATTACAGATACTATGTATACTGGAATGTGACACAATGTGCTGTTTAGTATATATTATCTTTTACTTTGTGCAATTAATTTATTAAGATTCTCAACTCAGCATATAATTATGAAGCTGGATCAAGGACAACATCAACAGTGATAAGTCATGATAATTGTATGTACGTTAGTGCAATCACATGCTGATGTGATCAAAATGGCATTTTATCTCTGTGGTTAAAAAAACCAAAAACCTAGGGCCTCCCCTGGTGGCGCAGCGGTTGAGCGCTGGGCTGCAAAGCTGCCCGCAGCTTCTGCAGCACTGGTTCGATCCCCGGCCACTGGCGAGGGTCCCACGTGGCGCGCAGACCTCTCCTGCCACCCGCTGCTCCCCTCAGCAGTGTACTTCGGTCCTTCTGCCTGTTCTGCTCCCCGCTCTGGCTCTGGAGAATCCTCTCACCCTCCCGCACTTCTGACTGTACCCAGTGCTTGTATGAATAAATAAATCTTAAAAAAAAAATAAAACCTATAAAAACCCATAGCAACCCTGGTCTAATCATGAGAAAAACATCACACATACCCTAAGTGAGAAACATGCTACAAAAAACCTGGCAGTATTCCTCAAAACTCTTATGAGAAACTGTCATAGACAAGAGCAGCCTCAGGAGACACAATGACTGAAAGTAAAGTAATACCCGAGGTGAGATCTTGGAACAGAAAAAGGACAAGCTGTGAAAACTAGGAAAACCTGAACAAACAATGGATTTGGTTAATAATATATTGATAACGGTTCATTAGTTGCAACATACTACCGCTAAGATGGTGATAATAGGGAAACTAGGTATGGGTATATGCGAACTCTGTACTACCCTCACAATCTTTGTATAAACTGAAAATTGTTGCAAAACACAAAGTTCTTTTTCTGAAATGCCACTCTTTTCACTATTTGTTTTGGAAAAGTTATTTCCATAAAAATGTGTTACTTACGTGTTAACATAATGAATGCTTACATTTTTCTCAATTTTAATTTCTAATACGTCAAATCCGAATAGCTATAACTCATTAAAAAAAGTTCTCTGGAGTCATCAATCATTGTTAGATGTGCAAAGAAACACTTACTAAATCAGTAATGTTCAACAAGTGACCTGCTAAGCTGCTTTTGACTTTCTACTCAAAATAAATATAATGTATATTAGTGAATGTGGTTAGATTTTTGTACATTCCATAGGTTTCTCTCACAACTGAACTCGAAAATACTGTATTTTCTTCTCCCTGTCCTACCTCAAATCCACTGTTCAGGAGTAACTAAAACTGTAATGACAGGAGGATTTAAAAATTGAAGCTCCTGAATGTTTAGAGAAAGATGGCTGTGTGGATTTGAAATTATTTTCAGTACCTAAAGATGAACTGAAAAACTAATTATGCCAAATTAACAGTATCATATACAGAAGGGGAGGGGGAATTCACCCTAATCATTTTAAACCTAGTAAGTTGTAAATAATGCAATGCTGTTATCAAGTACAGAATAACAGACAACCAAGTAAAATTTCTGAAATGCAGACCCATTGTTAATTTCCATTTTCATAAGAATAAAATATCCCTTCCAACAGGATTTCTTTCAATAACAAACTTTCTTCAGGATACAAAGCCAAATTTGGAAAATTAAGTGGTTACAATTACAATGAATTGAGTACACAGTCCTAACTGTATCAAGTTTTATTAAATCTAAGATACCAGTGACTACGAAATGCAACATTATAACACTAGGAAAGAAAGCTGCCAATTAAGCTTAAGGCATAATGCTTACTGTCTTCAAGATTAAAATGTGAACAAAATGTGGGTTACAATCAAGAAAATACTGGAACCTTAAACATACAATTAAAATGTCAGAAAATTATCAATATTAGAAAATCACAAAGAAGGGCCTCCCTGGTGGTGCAGGAGTTAAAGACAGCACTATAAAGCTATCTTCAGCCACTGCAGCAGGAGCTCAATCCCCTGCCAGGGAGCCACCCACATGTCGCAGCAGACCTCTCCTGCCTCGCCCACTGCTCCCCTCAGCAATGTGTTTCAGTAGATCTGCCTGTTCTGTCTCCCACTCTGTCTCTGGTGAATCCTCTCACCACCACCACCCCGACTCCTCTGGCTTACACCCCAGTTTTTGTATGCATAAATAAATAAATCTTCATAAAAAAAGAAAATTATCTACTAATAATCTTGGACACTTAAAAAGTAATTTATCTATGCCCTATATATTACAATATAGTCAGTACTTGAACAGAAATCCTAACCTGTTTGAACTGTCAGAAAGGTAATCCACGCTTTGAGCAAATACATGTGTAATTAATGAAATGAAAAGGCACCTCCCAAAACAGGATCTTGAGATTGAAAGTCACTATTCAGTAATAAAAATGATGAAAACAACTGTAAAGAGCAAGAGTTCACTCAGAAACAGTTGGTCTGTTAGCATATGAAAAGTTACTTCAAACTTAGACAAAAGGTACAGGGGAGTATCACATTTCATTTCACTTGCCCCGTTAAGGAAAAGTAGCTCTACTGAACAGCCTCCGCGGCTGAATAGAGTAAGAGAAAGTCTATGCTTAAAATTGACAGGGAGAAAGTGTTTGTTTACAACAGATTTATATTAAGAAATAAAAGTTAAATGTTAACAGCCGATCGAAAGGTTTTTCTTTTTCCTTTCGAAGGAGAAACTGAAGCAGATTCAAGATTCTATGTCAGGATACAACCAACTTTGTCAGATCTCACTGTACATAAAATATGCTGCAATCTTACCCACACAGAATTCAATATAATTCATGTCAAGTATTTTAAATACTACAATAAAACCTTTAAGTGCTTGTATCCAAATGAAATTTTTAAATAAACTGTACTGATCTCTCAACTTAGAAAAATGCCCCACTCTAAGATGGTTTTTTAACAAATCTTAACATTTTCAGAATTTTTCAAGATACCTCAAAACCAGAAAACAGCTTGCCATACCTCCTGCTAACTATACTGCCTGACACACTAATAGGAGAGGAAAAAGGCAAATCAGAAAACAAGTTGACTTCAGGACTCTTGAAAGTTCTGGTTCATTTACTCAGCAAAACCCAAGGGCCCAGAGTCTTACCTGGCAGGTCACCAAGTTGGCTGTGGTGGCCAGACCTGTCTTCCCTAATTTGCAGGGATTTCCAGAGGGAGATAAAGCAATAGCAGAAAGTTTTCCCTTGATTTAGAGAATTTCCCCTAGAACTCTCTCTTCTCTTCTGGCCTCTTCCCCCACCTTCTTCCACTCTTTGAGCTTACAGCCAACTACCTTCACCACAAAAATCACCAAGACTTTACCAAATGAAAAGCAAGTTCAGAAAACGACGAGGCGCCCAGCCCACCCTTTTGAAAATACCTAAGGCACAACACCCCACACAAGGACAACAAATCATCAGTGAAGACAGGCACAGCATTCTCTCCAGCCTCTAATGAAAGATCCCGCTGCATGGGGTGGCGTTTGACTTAATGCAACGGAAAAGCTTATTAACGAATTTGGGGAGAAAGTTTCCATTCTTGAAGGTGAAAGATTTCTTCTATTCACTCAAATTAGCCAGAATCCAAACATACCCGTGAGCAACCAAGACTTCACGGCGTCTTTACCTAAAAATTTTCCTCCAAAATATTCAGAACTTGTCTGCCATCCAAACATTAGCATCTACAGTAATCTACAGTACTCTTCGCAATGCCAGACTGCAGACGGGCTTAATAACAAACGACCTTTCGAGAAAGAAGACGAAGAAGAAGAAGAAGAAGAAGAAGAAAAAGAACCTTCAATCCCCTTAAGTTAGGTATCCACGGACAAATCTGCCCGGCCTCCCAGCAAGAGCGGAACGGCTGATCTCACCCCTGCATCGCCCACAGCTCCTAGCTCGAAGCCTGGAAGTAGCGGGCATTCAGTGCGTGTCCAGAAACACTCTGGTCCTCTGATAACAAGTTGGGGCATTCCAGAGCACCGGCTCCACCCCTCCCGGGTCAGCCGCCCGCGGCCGATTCCAGACCGCCTCGGTCTCGCTCCGGTGAAATGAAACCCCGTCGCTCAAGGAGACCCGGGCTGAGGGCAAGGCGGCCACTCGGTCCCACCCCACGGGGCGACAGATGCTCTATTCACCCCATCAGGCTGCTGGTCCGCAGGCCTCCCCACCGCATCCCCGTCACCGCCGACGCCCGCCCGCAGATGCGAGGGGGCGAGCGCCCCCGCCCCACCCGGCAGACAGCCTGGCGTCGGGACACGGGGGACGCCTGCGCAGAAGAACCCGCCTCCCACCGGTCTAGTCCCTCGGCTCCGAAGGGTAACAATACCCCCTCGGAGAGCCCGGCAGGGGCACCCGTACGCGTCTGCGCGCGCCCCGAAGCCTCGGCGCGACCCTACTGACGCCACCCGCCCTGCGCCCCCGGAGCGCAACCGTCTACACGTGAGCGCGCGCGCGCCACCACCGCTCGCGCTGACAGGGTCGCCTCACCTGAGCCGGGCTCCGCCCCCCTTCTCACTGGAGGAGGCGGTGACCCTTCTCCGAGCCGACCCGACAGTGGCGGAGGAGGTGGGAACGTCCAGGCTGGCGTCTCCGCGGTGGGATTTTCTCCCCCTTCCGCCCACCCCCCCCGCCCACCCTGCCTCTTGTCCGCCAGCTCCTTCAGCCCGTTCGCCGCCGTACTCAGAGAATACAGCGGCGGCGGCGGCAGACAGTAAACGGAAGTGACGCATGCGAGAGCGCCTACGCCTCTCTTTGCCTCCGCCCCTCTCGCGGAATTGCAGCCAATCATCAAGGGGCGGGGCGGGGCCTGGCTAGAAGAACAGCCAGCCGGAACGCGGATTCCGGAGGAATTTCCTTGGCCCCACAGAACACTGACCAATCACGGTCCCAAGAGCCTCGCTATGTTTACTACCGACCGAATCCCTGAGCGCAATGACCAATCACTGTTGGCCTTACAACACGTAAAACTGTTATCAAACGCCTTTTAAGGCGGGATTTATCACGGAGGCTGTTTGAGCTGGAGGAAAGCGACTGTAGGCCGCAGCCAATCAGGGCCCGTTATGGCTGAGAAAAGCGGGTTTTCCGCCTAATTCCACCAATCAAAATCGCAACTGCCTTAAGTCTGCGGGAGCCGCAAGGCGGACCCTCAAGGCAGTGCGAACCGTCATCATTGGCTGAACCTGAAAGATTTTCCCATCCTCGGGGCGCCCGTCCCTTCTGTGAACCCCCACGCCCCAAACAAGTTCTCTGCGCGGGACCTGCACACGCACGGGGTCAGAGGTTCGGTTCCGACCTCGTAGACTTCAGAAAAAATAAATTCCGAGTTGTCTAGGTTCAGTGAGCCAAAATCCTGGCTGAAAATGGTCATTCAAAAATGCGGTCCGTCTACTGACAGTTGGCCCCGACGCCGCCCTCGCCTAGTGCAGGCGGCTGCCGCTCAGAGCCTTGGGGTCTGAGGGGTCCCGCGCGCCCGGCTCCCGATTCGCCTTTGCCTCCGCAGTCTATGCGGTGGGTTAAATGGGTCTCCAGAATCAGCCTCCCGAAAAGCAAAATCGGAAACGTGGAAGGATCCTGGGCTCCCATAGGAGGCTGTCAGCAAAGAGCAAGCACCAGGGCGGCTGTTGGGCTCCCGGGTGAGCGCCAGGATGCTGAGCCCCAACCCTGAGCAGACCCGCCCTCCCAGACTGCCGCGCCCGGGGGCAAGGAAGACGCCCACCTTCCACGCGGGAAGAGGCGAGCTCGAGAGAGGCCTCCCCGGCGGGAGCTGTCCAGGAATGGCACCCGCCGGAGATGAAGGCTGGGCCACGCTCTGCCATCTGTGTTAGGGTGTGTGTGGGAAGGGGGGAGGGGGGAGTGCCTTTTGAAAATGGAATGAAATGCTTTAGAATTTAACAACCAAAAGCCGTTACAACTGATTCTTCTCCCTTCAGCCGTTACAGGTTGGAAATGTTGCCTCTGGGGTTTATTTCTTTAAGGCTTCAATGAAGTCTGATGTTAAAGTCTGTTAAGATTCCCTGACATTGTAGAGTCCTTACACGCAATTTACCGCCACATTGGGCGGTAAAATAAAGACAATATGGAAGGCTGACTTAGCAGAAACCAGGTTAAAAATTTTGCTTATCATTAACTCCTAATTAGTTAATATATAGGTGCTTAGAATAAATGCACATATTGGTTTTCTTAGGAGAGGTATGGCGTGAAGCACAGGATCCTCTCTCTTCTGTGCTACATAGCCCAGAGCTTAAGCATGTGGGACCCAGACCCAGCATGTGGGACCCCACAATGAGAGAAGGATCTGGATATACTGCCCTGTGTCCAGCAGTGTTGGATAAATAGGTCAGGGTCAGGAGAGACCTAGAAATGTTGGTGTATGAAATAAATAGCTGAGGGGCTGGAAAGAGGTGCTGAGAAGAGGCTTAGGTAAATACAAGGTCAGAGTATTCAGGCTTTTGAAGGACTCAGGGCAGAGGAGGTGATTGTTTTCTGTGTGGCCTTTGCCAGCAGAACAGGAACTACAAGAAGAAACTACAGAAGGCAGCTCTGTATAAGGAGAAATCTGTTTAAGGTGAAATGTCTGCCTTATAAGGAATGACCATCGGTGTCTATAGGTATACAAGAAGAGTCTGCATCGGGGACAGGAAGAGAGAGTGAGACTCAGAAAAAGGGAGTGGGGGAATGAGGCAGAATCAAAGAAAGAAAGAGAAAAGGAGCAGCAGAAGAAACAGCTTTGAAATTATGCGGTGAGTTGCTGCCAACACACTGTAGGATCTGACCTGCCTTTTCAGGTCTTCATTAGCGATATCCTAAAACACCAGCAGATGGAGATATTACCCCAAGAAAGGAGGACTCCGCCTCATCACACCCACCCCCACCCCAGCCCCACTTACTCACAAAATTCCATTTCCTCCTCTGAAAGTGATGCTAAAGAGAACGCCAGAAGTATCTGAATTTCCAAACTGAATTTATAAACAAACATTTATGGTAAATTCTGCCTGTGATTTTCCCCAATTCTAATTTAGAAAAAGTCCCTATATATAGCTTTTTACATTTGGTTACTGCAGGTGGCTCCCTCCACCTTCCCCCACCCCAGTTATATAAACATGTATTTATATGTATATGATATCTGTGCATTTGGAATAATTGTTAAATAGTTAATTTAAATAACATAGGAGTACCTGGCCCTAACACTTTCCCTCCCCAGATAGAATCTCTATAACTTTGAGTTCTTATCAGTGGTAATTCTGGCAGTTTTTGTCTCAGTCCATGTCTGATAATCTTTACTCTTCCACCTGGCTGAAAAGCAGAATGAACCTTATGGTACTGGATTGGAATTAGAGGTCAGCGTGAACTCAGAGTTCTATGTATACATATATTTAGAAATTCTAAATTTTAGGAATGAATCACTTCTATTAAATTACTTTTAGTTCTGAAAGTATGTATGTGTATACATATTCCCTAGTTAAGTCCACCGAGAAGACCTGGAAGCAGTAACACTGCCAATATAGTCCACACCTAGCACGCTGATCTTGATATCTAAATACCCTTCCCTACCAAAAGAAATGAGAACTCCCTGAGGAAATGGCTGATTTCAGGGCTGCAGCAGGTAAAGGGCACAATGAAATGAGACATTTTGTGCCAGAAAGTAATGGCATGTTCAAAAAATGTTGTGGACATATTTTTTTAAAGATTTATTTATGTATGCATACAAGAGTTGGGGTACAGGCCAGAGATGCGGGGGATGAGAGGATTCACCAGAGACCGAGTGGGGAACAGAACAGGCAGATTGACCAAAGTGCACTGCTGAGGGAAGCAGCGGGTGCGTCAGGAGAGGTCTGCTGCGCCAAGTGGGTTTTTCCCTGGCCTGCTGGGGATCGAACTCATGCTGCAGAGACCGTCGATTGCTTCATAGTCCGGTGCTTAACCCCTTGCGCCACCAGGGAGCCCATGTTGGGGACATATTAAAAGAACACTGAAGCCAGCTTGATGGGCTTTCCATAGGTTCAATATGGGAAATGCTGAACATGAATGATGATAGCAGATTCTAATCTGTTGAACAAAATTGGGATCCACAAGTCTCTACTTATATAAATAAGTAGGAAGTAGAATGAACAGAATTACTTAGTTTCTAAGTACCTGCTCCTTAAAAAACAATTTCAAGGGGAAAAAATAATTTTTCAGTGGAAAAACTTGGTTAATACCACTTTAATTAAGTGACCAAAGTTAATACAACCGGTAATTGGGCAAGTTGAAGTTTGGTGCTCCCTGATAGGATATGGAGAGAAGAGCATCATATCGGTGATTTGCCTGCCAAAGTTGTATCACCTTGAAACTAATCATTTGGAAACAGTAGACAAATGCTGATTGAGGGACATTCTACAAAACAAGTGGCCCGTAAAATTTAACATTTAAATTGAAAGTCGAAGAGTGAGGAACTGTTCCAGGTTGAAAGAGACTAAAGAGCTTACAACTAAATGCGATTCTGAACGTATGATTTGCTATAGGGTAATCGGTGAATTTAGAGTTTAAAATGGGCTTAAAGGCCCTACTTTGGCCCTCCTCCTGCTCTGATAACTCCCACGTTGAGGGAGGGTTGAATTCACAGGGACATAGAAACATATCCTTCAGATCGGGATCCCCCTTTTAGTTCACAGCAGAATTCCCTGCCCAAAACCGTGCTTGATCCTGCCGGAACTCTCCCCTGGTCCATCCTCGCGGAATTGATAGGGCCACAGGTGTATGCAACGCTTACGCCAGAGAATTGATCATGGAGGGGCCTGTTGACAGGATTGTGGACAAAGCTTAGATTTCACGATTGGCTGTCCATGGCTGTGAATAGAAAGTCCTAGAGAGCAGCTGGTCTCTGCCAGCCACATTTAGTTGGTACTCAAGTAGTTTAGGTTAGAGAATTCTAAATTTGAACTAGGCCTTTAAGATCTTACTAAGATGTATTTGTCCACATAGGTGAGCTGAACCATACTTTGGCCAGACCGTGCTGTGCAAGGAGAAAACTCATGGAAAGATTAGGCACAAGTCTCACGGCTTACAAAAGCCTTGGGACCTTAGGGCCACACCCCCATAGGCGCTGGGCCAATCAGGTGCTGCGCCTGGGGGAGGGGCGGAGCAAGTGTGGGCGGAGACCACGCCTTACTGCGCGAAGGGGCGGGGCGAAGTGTGGGCGGATGTTCGCACCTCTGGTTCCGGGAGGAGCGCCTAGAGGAAGGGGGCGGAGACGGTGACGGTGGTGTGGTCACGTGACGGTGACCGGCGAGGACCCGCCTCTTCCTGCCTGCCTCCTCGGCACACTGTCTCCTTTCACGCGTGTGGACAATTTCGCTGGTAGCTGCTGCTCTCTCGACTCCTGGGCTTGGCGGCCAGACAAGCGAGATGGCGGCGGAGTTGTTGCCCAGCGCGAGGTGGCAGTATTGTGGGGAGCCCGACAAGAGCCAGAGAGCTGTACTGGGTAAAAATTGCGGAGTTGGGCTAATACCCCGCCCTAGTTCTCCCCTTCCGTGTCGGTACTTTTACAGCCCTTCCGCCTCCTATCGGGTCCCTTTCCCAGCTCCGCCTAGACCCCCCTCAAGTCATCACCGCTACTTGGGGCTCGGTCAGGGCGCTTCATCCCCCCATTTGTATAACCAGCTTCCCAGCTGGATGGGGACACCTCAGCTACCCCTCCCCAGGACTGTACTCAGACCCTGTCATACCTCACCTGCCAGGTATCAAACTTGGCCCTTCTCTCCACTAGGCAGGGGTTTTCTGTTTCTCTTGACCACTATTGTCAGCCTCATCCCCGTAGTCATTCCCTCCAGTCACAGCTCCTCCCTAAGACTCCCCTCACTTCCCCATTCTCTCTTCCCAACTGCTCCAGGACTTCCTTCAGAACCTCTTTAGGTCAGGATCAGGACTTCCTTGCCATCCCCATTCCTGCAGTCTCTCCTGCCCAACAATAATACAATTCCTCCCCTCCACACGCTGGGTCTTTCTGCTCTCATCTCATTCTTGGGTTGTAATCTTGCAGTCCAGTTCTCCAATGGGAAGCTGCAAAATCCAGGCAATATGCGCTTTACCTTGTACAAGAGCAGCGACTCCACAAACCCTAGGAAGCGGAGTCAGCGGATCCTGGTAAGTGCTGCAGTGCCCAGTTGCCTCCATTTTGCAGGTCTCACTTTGCAGGGACCCCTTGGGTTTGGTGGATGTAGTTCATACAAGTAGACAAAGCTCAGGGCCCCAGGGAGGGTGAGTTCAGGGCAGAGTAAGTTCAATGGGAGAAGTCTCTGCTTACCTGAATGCCTTTCTGGGGAGGGTGCATTGGAGCTGAGCCCTGTAGGATGGGAGAACTCTTGACAGCTGAGGCTTAGTATTCCAAGTGAAGAAGCTAACAGGGACAAACTCAGGGAAGTGAGAAAGCTTGGCTGTGATTGAGGAATGAATGAGAAGGTGGGCACAGAGGATGAAGAAGGCCTTGGACTTTGGGCCAAGGAGGTTGCCTGTAGAATCATTTTGTTGCATGCCTGTAAGTGCTGGGAGCTCAGGGCCTCTCTCCCTAGTTTTGTGATACAACTCCCCAAAGGACTTTTATTGCAAGATAGAAAATAGCATTATCTGGGGCTTCCCTTTCAAACATCTTACACCTTTTCCCCAGGGGACACCCCAGTTTGACTTAACTATAGTGGGGTTCGGTTATCTTTCAGAGAATCTCTTATTCGAATCTACCGTGGTTCTGGATGCTAAAGCTTTAGCATATGTGGAAAAGAGAGATGAAAGGCTGAATGCCTTTCAATATTGGTTGTAAATGCAGCTTTTCCCACTTTATGTTTTAGGCGGCTGAAACAGACAGACTTTCCTATGTGGGAAACAATTTTGGGACCGGAGCCCTCAAATGCAACACTCTGTGCAGGTACCAAATGCAACACTCTGTGCAAGAGAGAGCGGGGACCTGGAGGGTAGTGATGTTGGGCCTGGCACTGATGTTCTCAGTCTTTATTTTGGGGATGGTGGGAGATTCTAGGAGGTTTATCAAGCCCCTGTGTTTCCAGACCCAGAGGCCCTCACTCCAGCCTGTGGACATTCCAGGAAAGGAAAGATGACTTATTTGTTCAGTTTTCTAAAATCTTCATTAATATGTAATATTCTTTATAACTGTCTAGAAGGCAGTTGTTTCCAGTAACTTTGTTTTTTTAATGATATACCCTTATGTCATTGATATAGGATTTCTTGCCTCAGGTATGGTCACCATAGTTTTCCAACCACTAAAACCACCATAGTCCTCCACCATTTTGCATTGTGCTCTCCCACCCCTACCCCCGCCAATTGTTTTCTCTCCTCTTCTACTCCCTCTCTTCCTGGATACCTCAGATCTCTGGTCAGTTGTCAAGGGTTGGTTTTAAAGTTTGTCTTTAGTTTCTCTATATGCCTCCAGTAATTTGGAATATGGAATTATCAGGCCACAGTTTGTCTGCATTGTGCCTTGGAACTAACTACAAGAAAAGATTCAGCAATGTCAAAGACTCCGGGCTAGAAGAGTGCAGCCTGTGGTTCCCATCCAGCTCTGCCACTGGTTCACTGAGTGACCTTACCTTCACTGCCCTTCCTTATCTCCAGTCTCTCTTGGTACAATGAAGACTGTCCAGACTGAACAGTCTTAACTGTAGGGTCTGGCTTAATGCAGACAGTGTCCCTGTGATGATACCTAACAGTGAACCACAAACAAGACTTTTTGGGAGCCCCCCAAAACCACCCTAACACTGCATCATCCTTAGCAGAAACTCTCAAGATCAGACTGGTCTTACCAAGGTTTTACTTGTCTTTACTGCTATAAAATTTACGTGTGAAGTAAATTCTAGTATAATTCTAGATTCTTACATCCCAAAAGGGATTCTCATTACAGCAGTGAGCCCAAATGTGATCAGCTACCAACATCACCTGGTTGGTTTTTCCCCACATAACTATCTCACATGCCTTTTTTTCCCCTTTGTATTTCCTACCCCTACCCAAATGCTGCTGTGTGTATGTTGGGGGTGGGGGGTGGTAATTGTTACTCATGAACATGTGATACATTCATTCCTCAGGAATGAGTTGGGGCTGAAGGGCGAGTAAGAACTTTTAAAGAGGAAAAAAGGAAACTGTATAAACAGTATCTTTTGAATAATCCATTGTCATTGGTATTATTCCTTCTGTATTAAGGCACTTTGTTGGAATTTTGAATAAGACTTCTGGTCAAATGGAAGTATACGATGCTGAATTGTTCAACATGCAGCCTCTTTTTTCAGGTAGGTCCCAAACTGAAGGCTCAGAGAAACACTGTTAGGTTTCTTGGTTGAGCTGGCTTGAGTTTTTGTTTTGTAAAACACATTTTGTAGTTATTTCTAAAAGGATGCTTTCCAGCCAAGTTTGTTGTTACTGCCATTTTCATTTGAAAACTTTTAAGGGGTTTTCTACTTGGTAAATATCTATTTATGTCCTGCTGTATACCAGGCACAAATTAGGAGCTTTGGTTGTAGTAGTAGTAAGCACAGCAGCACAGATCTATCTCCACAGCGTTTGCAGACTTGAGATCAGAAGGGAATTGTGTTTAAAGCAAGTTGAGCATTACTGGAGCAGAATGTTGAAGGCACATCTGACATTCTTTCCCATCAAAGGCCTTTCTTAGTTATTAGCTGTTATAGTTGAAGTAACGTTTTTAGAATCTCTGGTAGGCAGTGGAAGTTGATTATAGGTTTTGGACAGTAACTTTCAGGGTGATGAGAGCTCTATAGTCTAATTTGGGAGGGCATCTATTTTTTCCCCTAGTATAGTGGGAGAAGTTGCACTGCTTCTCTGCTTTGGCACCTTAGACTATGTACAGGGCTAGAGTGGGCTCTTGCGAAATGATAGGTGCGAGGGTCATATTGAAGGGACCCCTTCCTGTTCCCTGAATCTTAAATACTGAGAACCATGGCTGGGAGGGTGTTGGATAAGGAAGGTGACCAAATCTGCTGATACCTTAAGAAGCTTTAGTTATTAGTTCTAATTTCAAAGCAGTGGTCCCATCCCTTTCAAGAATCTGAGAAGCACTGGGACCTTCTTTCCAGAAACATACCTAGTATATAAAAATAGGAGTTTTTGCCTCTAGTTTTAAAGGACTCTTAAGTTCCAGAGCCCATCTGACTTTCTTATAGGTCCTTAGTTTTTAGGGCAAGAATGCCCTGCTTTGTAAACAAATAATTACATTTAAATTATCCATCAAATGCGCTTCTAACTTCAAAAGCCCAGAGAAAAGTATTCACTGATTTGTTGGTTAAACACAGTTTGTTTTTTCATGTAAAAAAATTTATAAATACTGGTTTATTCTAGTCAGCATGTACATACATACAAACATATGTATCGGTTCTCATTTCATGTGAAGCACTGGTTTCAATACTTTTTTTTTTTAAATCTGCATATGTTTATTAAGCCCGGGACAATATTTTTCTTGAAATCACTTTTCAGAAATAGTGAAACTTTTTTCTTTTAAGATTTATTTATTTATGCATACAAGAGCTGGGGTACAGGCCAGAGGTGTGGGGGGTGAGAGGATTCACCAGAGACAGAGTGGGGAACAGAACAGGCAGATTGACTGAAGTACACTGCTGAGGGGAGCAGCGGGCAAGGCAGGGAGAGGTCTGCTGCACCATGTGGGTAGCTCCCTGGCTGGCCGGGGATTAAACATGTGTTGCAGAGGCTGCGGACAGCTTCATAGGTTGGGTCTTAACCCCTTGTGCCACCAGGGAGGCCCTGGTCTCAATATTTTCAATGCACCACATCACTTCCCAGAGCAACCCTCTGTGGCAGTGTTCCTTTTTTATTGAGGTTTTATTTGGCACAGAGGTGAATGCTTTGGCAGGGACATACTATTGATTTACATGAGCCTGGGATTTAAATTTTGGCGAAGTCAGTCTGAGCTAGAGCTCCTGTCCACTAGATGATACTGCCCCTTTATGAACACCTTGTGGGAGGTTGGAGAAGTTTGTGTAAATGATATGTACTTCATGTTTAGGCTTGGTTTTAGGTCTTTTACAAAGAGGGCAAAGCTTTACTAGATGCTGTTGAAGACTTAGATGGGTCTGTGCCATTGCCTGGTGAACTGCCTGGGACAAGTCATTTCATCTGGAGGCTCTTTTTTTTGTGTGTGTGTGATTTGCAAAATGAGGAGGTAGCACCAGATGGCCCCTTCATTTGACTTCTTAATTTATCTCTGCATACTAAAGTTACATACTGAATGTTCACAGTATACACTCGTTAAGCTCTGGGAGGCTCTGTAAGAAAGAAGCCTTTTCTTCTTATTATCTGAAAAACAAATATTAAACACTGTTAGTATTTGCAGGTCTTATGGTTTGCTTTCTTTTCTGTGTGTTTGTTTTGTGTTCTCATAGATGAATCAATAGAGAGTGAATCTACAGAGAATCAGACCAAAACTTTCAGAGAAAAGGTAAGTGTGACAGAATAAGACATGGGCCTTAAGCAAAGTCCTTTCAAAAGCTGAGGTTTGTCCATAAGTAAAATGAACTGATTGAACACAGGGTCTCCCTGGCCGCTCCCAGTGCATTTCATCTGTGGTTCTCTGCACAGTTTCTTCCTGCAGTGGCCGTGCTGATGTTGGCACCGGTTCTCTGAACTGATTCAGGTGTAGGCTAACGCTTGTTTTTAAGATTTAGGCCAGTATTGCAAAATATTGGCTGTCTCCTAGAGACTATCATATAAAAATAAACTAGGATTTTCAGTATAGAAGATTCCTACCAATGTCATTTCATCCCAGGATGGCAGATTGATTGACTCTTCAATTGACTGATGAACCGCTGTCTTTTTTTTTTTTTTTTTAAAAGATTTATTTATTTATATAAGCACTGGGTACAGTCAGAAGCGCAGGAGGGTGAGAGAATTCACCAGAGCCAGAGTGGGGAACAGAATGGGCAGAAGGACCGAAATACACTGCTGAGGGGAGCAGCGGGCGGCAGGAGAGGTCTGCGCACCATGTGGGACCCTCCTCCGGTGGCCGGGGAGCAGCCGGGGATCGAACCGGCGCCGCAGAGGCCGCGGGCAGCTTCGCAACCCAGCGCTCAACCGCTGCGCCACCGGGGAGGCCCACTGAACCTCTGTCTTGAGAAGAGGTGTGAAGCTACCTTTAGACACAGAGGGACTATTTCCAGTGTCTGCTGTGGATGTAGGACGGTGGAATAGTAGTATGCCATAGTCTACCAACCTTAGTTGTAGTCGAGTCTTTTCATTTTATGGGAGACACTGTTGCCTTATGTAGGGGCAGGACAGGACACAGTGCAGGTTTTCTGATCCAGCAGACTGGGTAAAGAAGGAGTCCTGGAGCTCTCAATGGCTTTTGCAGGCTTTTATTGGGATTTACCAGGTACATGGCAGGCAGGGGCGCTGGGGGGCCGGGAGGCCTCCCAACCCCCAGCAAGTTTTCACTCCGGGCTCTCCGGCCTTCTCTCATGTTCTCTCTGTTCTTCTCATGGATCTGCTTCTCTCTTGGCTTCTTCTGGCGTCCCCAGATGCCACCCTTAAAAGCCCAGTTTCAGCCCAGGTGAATCCCATCTACTCATGCCCACACCCTATTCCAGGTGCCTGTCATCAGGCATGCATTTGGGACCACAGGGTTCTGTCATCTGTCCCAATGGCGGGAGGGCAGAAAAGCCTGATACTTTTTACCTTACTCTGCACCTTACAAATAGATCTTTACAATTTATAAAGTTTGTAATGAATCTGTTTATATCGTTTGATTCTTACAACAAGTCTATGAAGTAGATAGGTAGGACTCAGCCTGACTTAGAGGTGAGAGAATGCTTTAGAGGCCTAGAGTCTCTCCGTAGTCACACAGCTGGGAGGAACAGTGCCTGTCTGTTCCCAGTAACCAAGTTTGTTTTTTGCACAGATGGACTCTTGCATTGAAGCCTTTGGTACCGTCAAACAGAAGCGGGCCCTGAACTCCAGGAGGATGAACAGTGTTGGCAGTGACTCTTTGAACCGTGCAGTTGCTAAAGCTGCAGAGAGTATCATTGATACAAAGGGTGTGACTGGTAAGCAAGTGGAACTTGGGGTAAGAATTGGTTCCTGAAGACAGCTTTTCCTCTGGAACCTGTTCCCACCCCACAGGTGGAAATGATGGGAATTAGATTCCTTCCTACTCCTTGCTGAGGCCTTCTCGGAAACAGAGATAGTAAGGAACACCTGCCCTCAGTGAGCTCACGGTCAGCAAGAGGAGATAGACTTGGGAACGTTTATGTGCACGTGTCCTTGGTCCCTGAATTCAAGGTTGCAGGGCAGAGCGGAGGGAGAAGGCCCAAGATACTGATGTGACAATGATGAACTGAGCCTCTGGAGGCACTGTTGTGTGTTGTTGTATTTTTTTTTTTCGGCTTCTAAATTTCATTCCCTCCACCCGTATTTGTCTACTTCAAAATATATTTATTAAGTGATTTTTTTTTAAAGATTTATTTATTTATACAAGAGCTGGGGTACAGGCCAGATAAGCAGGAGGGTGAGAGAATTCACCAGAGACAGAGCAGGGAGCAGAACAGGCAGATGGACTGAAGGCATTGCTGAGGGGAGCAATGGGCGAGACATGAGAGGTCAGCTGCACCATATGGATATCTCCCTGGCCGGCCGGGAGTTGAACCTGCGCTGCAGAGGCTGCGGACAGCTTCACAGCGCTGCGCTCAACCCACTGCGCCACTGGGGAGGCCCTTAAGTGATTATTATTTTTTAAAAAAGAGAAAGGATTTGTAAGAGCAGTTTCTGTTAAAATGGAATTTTAGTAATTTTTAGGAAATCCATACCCCATGATTATATGGATATTTTTCTATTTCTACCTAGTATGTGGAAAAGTTTTCTCAAGTTAAGCCATTGCAGACTCTTTTGATTATCCCTTATTTTTAACTTCTCTCTTATTGTCTTGTGAATATTTATGAGCACATGTGACTCTCCAAACTGTAATGCAAGGTTCCTGTGGGGGAATGTGCAGTGGGTGCCTTCTCTAGCACCTGAGAAAGCGTGTGTCAGGAGTTGACAGCTCTGGAGTTGGTAGTTGCTGGGGCAGTTGGGCTACACAGCCAGACACATTCATGTTAGAGGTTTCTGGATCGATTGTGATCTCAGTGCATTGGTTGCAAAGAGTATTGGAGAATCCGAAGCCACACAGGGTCACACCGACACTGACTTTTTCCTGTATTGAAAAGCTCTGGTCAATGATGCCATCCAGGATGACTCGCAAGATGACTCCGCCTACCTCCCTCCCTGTCATGCTGATGCAACCAAGCCTGAAGATGTATATAAGTTTGAAGACCGTATCCTTCTTGCATTAGAAAAACTGCTTTCATAAGTTGGGGTGCTTGCTTACATATTAGTGGCACAGATAGACTTTGAAGGTGTCAGTGGTCCTGTGACATTCACAGCAGCTGTGTCTAGAACCCTGCTCTTTCTGGGCTGTGAGCTAGGCTTCCTCACTGGCTGGGGACCTACTCTGGCACCAGCACCTGTGATTCAAATCCTTTTGCAGCAAAATACCAAATGTCCACTTCTCGGCCCCGGGAGGGTATTCACCCCACCATGAATATAAAAAAATGTCAAAATATGACACTTAAGTCTATCCCTGTCCAAGAGCTAGGGCAGACTGATTTTGTAAAAGGAAAGGTTAGCATAAAATATCCCTACTTGCGGGTCTAGTGAGATGTAAAGTGCCTGGCAGTGGCTTTGTGGTAAGAAAGAGAAGGCAGAAAAGCCTAGGCAAAGAAGGAGGTCTAGACTGGGAGTCTGGACAGCTGAGTCCTTGAGCCCTGCTCATATACTGAGTGCTCTTCCCCTCAGCCTTTGTTTTCTCCTGTGTAAAATGAGGCTGCTACAGGTTGATCGAGCTAGTTGGAAGTTTCCATTTGTGGTCAGATCGTATCCTTGACCTGTAACTAGTTCTTTCCCCTTCGGAATATGAAGCTCTTCAGAGCCCATCTGAAGCTTTTAAGAATGTCACATCGGAAGAAATACTAAAGATGATCGAGGAGAACAGGTACCCCCCTCTTGGATCAATGGAGTGTCTGCGGGAGCCATATGGGCCACAACAGTAGTCAGAAGCGGACCTTTGGGTGTCAGTCAGAGAGGACATACGTCTGTTCAGCACCACAACACAAATGAGCCAGTGTTTCCTTGAACGTTTGGGCTTCCAGGCCTGTAGTCCCAAGGCCATGAGTGGCATTCAAGGGAGAAAGTTGGCCTCTGAGCATGGACTCTGACAGAGGGTGATGAGGTCTTATGATCTGGGGCCAGAAGCTGGAGCTGGCCCGTGTCCCACAGTGTCCTGCTGATGCTGGTTGTCACTGGCGGGGCACGAGTGCTGGTCTGGGAGTAGGTGCCAGCTGAAGTGGTCGTTTGTCCGTGATCACGTACTGAGTGAGCTTCTTTTGAAATTAAACTTAGTATTTTACGTATTGTATGTTTTAAATAATTATGAGATTATTGTCCTTTCTCCTCCCCCTCGCCCCTCAGCACCCTTGCACTAACCCACATTCCTCCTGCTCTAAGGGGCATTGGCGGCCGACCCTTCCTCAGGGGCTGAGTATGTGTCAGCTGTGAGTGGGCGCTGGTTCCGGACAGAGTGTGTTCTTTACCAGATACATTCACCCCTTTCCCTCCCTTGTTTTAGCCACTGCTGCTTTGTCATAGAAGCTCTGAAAAATTTACCATTCGACAAGGAGAGCCGAGACCGCCAGGCCCGGTGCATATGGTTTCTGGACACCCTCATCAAATTTCGAGCCCAGAAAGTAATTAAGCGGAAAAGTAAGTCCACGATGGACCTTTTTTTCTAGTTCATTATTTGTAGTTCTTAGACCAACTCTGATGAGAGAAGGAAATGGGTATGTCTGCCCAGGTCTTTATTTTTAACTGTAATGATGAAGCTCCTGTTGCTACTGCTGATGTGCTGAGAGGACTCAGCTAGCTCTTCCCCAGCTGAGAATAGGAACAGGTTGGAATACATGATTGTTCAGACCTAACATTCACTACCTCTGTTCTGCAGTAGGCAAGGTCTGCTATCCAGCCAGACCAGGTAAAAATGGGGAAAGTATTAGACAAACATCAGTCATACAGCAAGAAACATTGGCCTTGCTCACGAAAGCTTGTGACAGGTTATTTCTGTGTTGGGTCAGTTCATGTCTGTCTGCCTGGGAGAGGAGTCCCACCCCATTCTCAACTGTAGCTGGGGCTGAAGGGAGCTGTCATGCTCACGTGTACCTGGAGGTGAACGCCCAACAGTTTTAGGGGTGGGCGTGTGTAGTCATTACTATGATCAGGTACCCAAGAGTCTATTCATGCTTTTCAGTTATTGTTTAATTCTTATTTTCACAATCTAGTCTCCTTTCTCTCTCTCCTTGGATTTTCTGTAGTCATTTTGCATTCTAACATTTAATGACTTCTTGTGTCTTTAGACCTCACTGGAGTCAATTCTTACTCTTTCTTATCACCACCCTATTGCAGATCTCTGCTGTTCATATATGGTCTGTAGGCTGAAGCACACCTGAGTGGATTTTCAGTGCAAAAGTGGCTGTTCTGTTTGCTGGGGCCCTGCTTCTCTGACCACTTGGTTCTGATCATTCTAGTGACTCAGCTGTTGCCTTCTCCCCGCACATGGATGAGGTGTGTGGTCCGAGGGTTTTGCAAGAAAATGTTTAAATTCATCTTTGTATTATAGGTGCCCTGGGGCCTGGAATCCCACACATCATCAACACCAAATTGCTGAAGCACTTTACCTGCTTGACTTACAGCAATGGCAGGTCAGTAGGGTTGATTTCTGGGGTTCTGCCCTATACAGGTGATAGCAGCTGGGGAGGGTGAGCACGGCGAGGAGGGTTTTGTATTTAATTCCATATCCACAGAGATGCTGTGCTGAAGAGAGCAATGCATTTGGAGGGGTTCTGGGGTCAAGTAAGTTAAGGAAGCACTGTATGTTATGTACCCTGTTCCCTTTGGAGAAGTTCACCTAAAGGCCCTAGCACGTCCTGCAGCAGACTTCCCTTCACACTCTTGCCATCCTCCCTGAGGTCCCGAGGAACTAGTGTTCTATGGGAGCACATTGCTGTAGTCAAAGGCAGCTGTGTGATGATTTGGGGGGAGAGAAGACTAAACAGCGCTCCCGGGCTTTCTTCCTGCTGTTCACTTGGGAAGTGTCTCGTGCTGAGTGTGCTTGGCAGATTTATCAGCAGCTGGGTTTGGGATGACTTTCGCAGCAGCCATGCTGAGGAAGGGAACAGATTCAGAAGGTCCTCACTTGCAAGGCACTAACTGTGCCTGGGGAAAGTGTGGCTGCGCCTTTCTCTCCCCTTTGAGGGAACACTGGGATTAGCTCACTGCTGCTGTGCAAAGGCTCGTTCTCCTTGAAGGACAGGGGTGTCGCTTGAATTCCTTTTCTTCTCTCCAGGATGGGAAGACATGGAGTGGGCAGGGGGACAGGCGTGGCTGTTTTTATTTTACCTTTGGAGAAATCATCCTGGAGTTTAACATTGTCTCTCCTTTGCTGTTACTGATCCTGCAGTTTACGGAACTTCATTTCGGATTCTATGAAGGCAAAGATCACTGCATACGTGATCATACTCGCCTTGCACATAAATGACTTCCAGATTGACCTGACAATATTACAGAGGGACTTGAAACTCAGTGAGAGGAGGTGAGCCCAACAGACTCAAACACCCCTGTGGCTACCTTAACGTGCCCCCAGTAACACTGTGAAGCTTGAGGCACCTTTGTGGGACCTGGGGATGTTCAATATGGGAAAGACTGGGAAACAGGTGCCAGTTTTCAGTGAGTGAATGATTGGATGAGCACCCAGATATTCCAGTGCCTTCTCTGTGCTAGGTATGGTGTTCGTCCCGTTACGCTAATATTTCGGTGATTTCTCTAAAAGACATTTGAAGAATTTTAGTTTCAGAGAAGTCAGTGACCTTTGCAACACCAGTCAGGGAGGGGGATAGCTGGGCTTCACCCCTGAGCCTTCCCATAGTATCTGTTCTTGTTAACCAAGCAGCCTTGAGAAGCTCTGGAAACTTCCTTGTTGGGACTCCTCACAGTCCTTGAGGGGATTATTCAGAAGGCTAGTCTCACAGGCAGTGAGGTTAAAAAGAAAAGATAAACAGATACTTGGAGCCTGTAGAATTTGAACAAATGCTCAATCCACATTCTAGGAAGTGCATGACATTATTAATGGGATCTAGATATCTCAGTTTCCTTTACCTATGTAGACATTTTCTAATGGCAGCCCATTGAAGTGAAATTATCTGATGCTCTGGTGCAGAGTGGGAAGCCGGGGGACCTGTCTGTCGGGGGTTTTGCTTTTGGTGGATTGACTTCCTGGGCTGGAGCATGAGTGGGCCGCCCCCTCTTGCCAAGCCTCCCTGAGTGGGCACATTGTGGAGACTCTTCATTCTTGTGTACTTTCTCCTTAGGATGATTGAGATCGCAAAAGCCATGAGGCTCAGGATCTCCAAAAGAAGGGTGGCCCTGGCAGCTGGCATGGAGGAGGATCACAAACTGGGCACGCTGCACATCCCACTGCCTCCAGCCCAGAACGCTGAGCGCCAGTCAAAACGGAGGAAAATCACCTAGAGGTGTGCTTTCCAGACTCAGCATTTTGGCCACATTGTAGCACTCTTTTTTATTCATTTCCAGTTTTATTTTTCAAACAAGACAAAGGAAGAAGCCCTGTTTTGGCATGGGCGTAAAGTCAGAAGTCAGCATCTGTCACGCTGGTGTCAAGCCGACACAGAATGTGACCACCACCGTGAACTTCCTCCCCCACGGTGTTGCTGGGACTACAAATGGAAGTTGTTCCTGGTGTTGGTTCACACATGGGGATGTGGGGGGGTGGGGTCCAGGGAATTTGGGGTCAAAAGATCTCACTAGGCTGAACCCTGGGCCATATGTAATGGATGAAGATTAATAAAGAGAAACATGAAGTGACGTGCTTAGGTCTGGAAAGACCAGTAGAATAGATAGTGAGGAGGCCTCTGCTCAGGGGCTGGATCTTCACAGAGCCCTGGGACAGCGGGCCTGAATGCAGTACAAGTTCTGACTGGCTTGAGGACACATCCCTCTGAGCCAGAACTGTGGAGCTACGAGCTGGATGGCCGGGCTGTGTAACCCTGGACTGTCCTGCCTCCTCCAGTGGCAGCGGTGGGGCCTGGGGAAGGTAGAGCAGTCCTGGCCTGTACCCAGCCACCTCTGAACTCCAGCCTGTGCCCAGACCAAGGAAAGTCCTCCTCCCCAAAGCACCTTTTAAAATACACCACTTTATTTTGGTTGCTGAGATTTTCATAAGCACTTGGTTCACAGAAAAGTCATTTCATACAAAATTATAAAGGCAGCATTTTGTACAGCGACTCACATTGAGGCCACCAGAGAAGTGCAAAGGACAGCGCTGGGGATGGGGGGGTGGGGACTGTACTCTTGTGCCAGAGTCCTCAGGGAGAAGCCAGTGCTCCTGGGTCCTTCTAGCTCCCTCCCACCCCACCAGGCAGAGCAGCACCAGGGGCCTTGGCAGAACCAGCCTGGAAAGGCACAGTGACCCCAACAGGCTGGTGAGAGCCCCACATGAAAGGCCGAGTGGGAAGGGGAGTGTTCAGGCTGAGCTATCCTGCATTCAGCCCCCTTCAAGCAGTTGAGGCCTGAGCCTGCCTGGCTCTGGAAGCTTGACACATTCACAGTAGGAATCAGTAAAGCCCTTTGGGAACTGGCCTTCGTCTCTTCACTCAGCTACTAGCCCCACTGCAGTCCCAGCAGGGGAACACAGGCAGTGAGACGTGGTCCCACCCTCAGCGCCCCCGGGCAGGTGAGTGGGACAGAGATGGGCCTGGAGAATCCAAAGCAAGGCAGAAAGTGCTCAGTACCTGAGAGGAAGGGGCAGAGGAGGCTCAGAGGGGGAAGAGCATTGTCACCTGGAGGGTGGGGAGTGCTCTGTGGAGAAGGCAGTGTCTGAGCTGAACCTTGAAGAGGGGGTGTGATCGGGATGTATAGGTGAGGAGAAGGCATGCCGGGAAGAGGGACAAGCACGAGCCAAGGCACAGAATGGGGAAGTCACGGTGGGGTCAGTGAAGGCAGGTAGTGGTCCACGAGAACATGGATACAGATGGGGGCCGGAGGCACTTCCATCTCCACCAGTCTGGTGCCCAGGAGGGACAGCTGATGGGGGTGGGCGCAGGGGAACTGAATCCCCGTTGTGTGGCAGGCGCAGAGCTAACATCCTCCTGAGTTCAGGAATTTGGGGAGGTCAGCGTGGAGCTGCATGCATCCCTGCACTGCCCAGGAGCACCTACCTGCACAGCCAAGCTGCTCAAAGGATGCCTTCTCCACAGGCCCCTCCTCTTTTCGGCAAGCCCCTTATCATCCCTGGGGCAGCCTTTCAAAAGGAGCTCCCTTTCGAGTTCCTTTCTTCCAGATACATTCATGTCCAAATCTAAGAACTGTGTCCTCAAGGAAACCAAGCTCGACTCCCCTCCACAGGCTGGTCTAGGAAAGGGAAAATTCTGGGGCAGTCATCTCTTCCCACCTCACTGGAATTACTGCCCTCCTTCAGGAGTAAATCTGCTCTTTCCTGAGAAGAGTCTGGGTTTGGTGTGTGTAAAATGCAGTTCCCTGTAACTCAAACAGAAAACCCTGACCAACACTTCAGTATCTGTTTCCTGAACTCAATCTCTACAAGAGTCTGAGTGACTGGAAACCTGCCAACTCTTTCCTTTTTCTCCTTACAAATCACTTCCAAGTCCCTTTCTGCTGAGGCAGTTGTGGAGTGGAAGGGCTTGAGAGGTACCTTGTACTTAGTTCCCAGGAGGTGTGAGAGCCTGTTTTCTCAGTGGGGTGGTGAATAAGGATGGAGAGGGGCCCAGCACCCCTGCAATACTACTGCTTCCATCCCGAAAATCTCACCTCTTGGCATGGCTGAGCCCCTATCAGCGCCAAGCCTGAGAGCAGGGTGTGTGGTCACTGCTCCTGGAGTCTTTGGACAGTGTGCCCCCCATTAGCCCATTTTGAGGTGCCCCCATCCTTATAGGATGGTGCAGAAGATGCTACGGTTGCTGTGGTAGCCCCCTTCCACACGGGCAGTGATCCTGGTGGCCATGGCTGTCACCTTCTGTCCACTGTGGGCTGCAGAGGGGCCTCGGAGAGAGTTTTCAAGGTGAGGCCGTGCTGGTGGATTCACCAGGCGCCATGTATCAGACCTGGAGATAGAAAAAGAGAGTTGATGAACACCTAGGGTCCACAGCACTTGCTGAATGCCCTGCACTATGTTACCTTTGACTCAAGACCACGGGATCCAGGTGTTTATTAATCTTAGTGTCACCTCTGTCTCTTAAGTTAGTGAAAGCCCAAGGAGGTGGGATGTGGGAAACCAAGGGGCAATAGTTGCATTTTCTAGTTCCAGCGCTGCCTTCAATTCTGCATGTATCTTGGACAAGTTCCCTCTGTGGGCCTCAATTTCCTCATCTTTAAATTAAGATGTGGATAAGGTAAGTGGTTTTATTTTTTCCTTTTATTTTCCAGGCAGCATGACCAGGAATGTTTATAGAAGCTTTATTTATAATCACCCAAAACTAGAAACGACCTAGGGGCTTCCCTGGTGGCACAGGCAGTTGAGTGCAGCGCTGTGAAGCTGTCCGCAGCCTCTGCAGTGCCGGTTCGATCCCCACCGGCCACGGAGCAACCCACATGGCACAGCAGACCTCTCCTGTCTTGCCCGCTCAGCAGTGTGTTTCGTCAGTCTGCCTGTTCTGCTCCCCACTCTGTCTCTGGTGAATCCTCTCACCCTCCTGCGCATCTGGCCTATATCCCGGTTCTTGTATAAATAAAAAATAAATCTTTTAAAAAAACCCAAAAAAACTAGAAACTACCTAAATGCCCTTCAGCTCATGCATTGATTGATAAACTGTGGTACCTTCATTTATGAATGACAGATGAATGCCATGGGTGAAACTCGGGTGCATCAGGCTAAGGCATAGAAGCCAAACTCAAGACTACATTGTGTAAGAGTTCTATAGGACAGGCTAGAATGTGCAAACCTACAGGGGACTGAATTGGTGGGTTTCTAGTTCCTCTAGCTCTTAATGGAGATGATAAAGGATCAGGGTCAGAGAAGCTTTGGTCATGGCTTTGTTTGAATTGAAAGGAATCGTCTCCCACACATACATGATCCTAAATTGCTTAGGTCAGCAACAATGTTTTATATGTATGTGGGGGAGATGGAGAAGGGGGTGTGGTGGTAGCCTAAAGTCAGATTAGGTAAGAGGCTGTGGCTACAGGACAGGAGAAACACCAACACTGATAATTATTTTTATAACCAAGTTTAGCAAAGCACCAGCCAATCAGAACAGAGTTAATCCATAAAAGACTGGAACAGCTGTTCTGGTAATTCAGTAGGAGTTGGGGGAGAGGGGGTGATCTGATACTGGGACCTGAACTAGGGTGGCGGCAGCTGGGGAGAGGAGGTACCAGATACAAGGACGTTTTAGAAGCAGAATCCAGAGGACCTGGTAAAGGGCTAGGAAGGGGGAGGAAGGGGGAGGAGCCAAAGGTTTTGCTGCCAGAACAGAATGGATAGAGATGTTATTAAAATGGGGAACAGGGAAAAGGATTTGGGGAAGATGTGTGCAAGGCAGTTATTGTAGTCTGAGGCAGATGTAAGGTTCTAAACGTGATTGACAACAGTAGTGGCAGCAATGAACATTTTGTGATACCTCAGATATCCTGCTACGTGCATGATCTTATTTTATCTTAAATTGGTGCTCCAATTTAAGAGTGACTGGATTTTACTAAGGCTCAGAGATGTTGAGTCACTTGCCCAAGGTCACATAGTAACTGGCAGAGCTGATCTTTGAAGCCTCGTATCCCTGATTCAAAGCCCCTTCCCTCCCATGCAGTCAGGCGCAGGTCCTCAGCCCAGGCCTTTATCTGATCAGAGTCCAGGACTGCAGGGAACAAGTATAGCTGCAATCACTGGGTCTGTGACTCACTGTGGTTCTAGAAGGTAGGTTTAAGCACTAAAAACACTTACTTTTTCTTGAAGACCAAGAACTTGTTGTTTTGCATGATGCATTCTCGGTTGTTTGAGATCTGCTGAAAGATGGTCTTATTGGTCTTCCCCTGGAAGATGATGTTCTCCTGCACCAGGGCCTTGGCACGGCCCCGCACTGCAATGCCATAGGCCCGGAATGAATGGATCCGGTTCTTTATTACCTAGGAGAGGTGGTCAGAGATGGTCACACAACAGAGATTCCCAGCCTTGGGGAGGGGGCAAGTGAACCACTATTTATAAAACTGGAGGGTAAGAGATGTTAGGTCAGCAGTGAGCCATGGGAGCCCAGAGAAAGGATACTGAGGTCAGCAGGGGGTGGGGGGGGTGTGCTTGGGAGGGCTAGCAGGGGTGATGGGTAAACAGCAGTTTATCAGGTGCAGAGGGAGAGAGTTGTTCCAGGAAGAAGGAACTGTGTGCAAAGCCCTGGCAATGAGGGGAGTGGTGTCAGAAGCCAGGGCCACTGGCAATGCAACAGAGGTGACAGCATGCTCCCACCTCCCCTCTCTGCTCCCACAGTGCTCAGATGCAAGACAAGGAATTCTTTACTCCTTGCCTAAGTTACCAACTTATGAAGCCACAGAGCCAAACTGAGGCTCAGGGATCACAGTATGACAAGGGTAGGGGCGGGTCTATTGAGTTCAACACTGAACCCTAGCACCCAGCACAGTGCTTTGCATAAAAATGGAGCTCAGAGCTCAGTGCCCTAATGGGGAGACAAGCAAAGGAACAAGTAGTGGGACGTGCTGTGTGAGACAGGGGTGGACATGGCCTCAAACTGTCTGGGGTGGCAGGTGGTCAGAAGGGGTTTCCAGAAATGACACTCAAAACTATTGAACTGAAGTACTGGGGTTGGAAAAATCGTGTCGCATTTTTAAATAATGTCATGACTTTTCCAACAACCCAATAGAAAACAGGGAAGAAGGGGTTTTCTGGTTATACAGGAAGTAGACTGTGCAAAGGCCCCAAAGCGAGACTTCACTCCTTAAGCACTTACTGCATACCAGTTCCTGTGTGGGATTATTCTGGTAGGGGAAAAGAGATGAAACAGCCCTCCCTGACCTTGACCTGGAGACCCCAGAGATTCCTCAGGTGGCAACTCCTGTATCCTTCAGGACCGAGTGTACACGTCCCCTCCCTTGTGAAGCCCCACCTGCATCTCCCAGGTTGTGTTTTGGCAGAAGGAATGATATCCCTTGCAGCGCTGAGTGCTTAAAGCCCTGCTTCTCAGCACAGAGAGAATGAGGGCTCTCCCGGGGCCGTGCCCGTGCTGGAACCACCCATCACACGTGCACACATATACACACCTTAGTATCAGACCTGGGCAGCAGCTGCAGCCCACTGCCCCGGT